CTTACTTGTATCAGAAGCTATTACGCCAACTAGTGTTGATTTTTTTCTCCCTTATTTCATAATTCTTATTTATCATACAAATATTCAAAGAAATAAAAAAGTGAAATACGATAAAATAATATTAAAAGGTAAATTATAAGAAATATCTTCCTCTCTAAAGGATTATATTTCACATGTTTGGAGTCGTTGATCATCATTTTATGTAGAGAAGTATACTTCACATGCTTTGACACATTGATCATCATTTCATCTTGAGGAGTATACTTTACATTCTTGGACATTCTTGGACACATGAGTATTGAAAAATCTTGTGCACTTTTAAAAAAATTATTTTTTAAGAACTTCATTCCACTAGAGAATTAACCTACCATGCCCCAAAAAGTAAACTCCCAAAGCCGGACAATCTTTTAAATATAAAATGTTACTTGTCACTATCTATCATTTATTAGAAGAATACAAAAACTCAACAAGAAACACACACTGTTTCACTCCTCAAGTTACTATAAATCTCCCAAACTGCAACTCATAATTTACTTGTAACTCATATCATTATGTCATCAACAACATCAACAATCGCAAAAACAAGATCAGAGTTGTTCCGAACTCGTCTTGGTTCTGCTCTAAGAACAACCTTAGCGTGCAGCATAGTTGGTATCACTGCCTTATATAGCCCTGAACATGTAAAGGATTACATTAAATTTCCATCTATTTCTTATGTAACAACAATTCTCATAGTATCCGATGCAACACTTGGTGAAACAGTTAAAGGTTGTTGGCATGTTCTATGTGCAACCATTCAGGTTATGATTTTCTCTCTACTTAGCCTTCAAGTTATAAGACCTGGTCACTTCAGCGACTGCATGGCTGCGCTGGCTGTGGCGGTTGGCACGTTTGTGGTGGCGCTACCGGTATCGACGAACTTGTTGACTAAAAGGATAGCTTTTGGACAGCTTGTGATTATTTATGTGAGCACAGTTATACATGGTGCGGAAGAAGGAGTGGCTACACATTCAATTCATGTGGCTTGTTCTACTGCACTCGGTGCTATAGCTTCTGTTCTGGCCATGTTGCTACCTTATCCAAGAGTTGCTTACTATGAGGTAACTTAAAACTTTTCTTTTAATCTTGTAAATATATGCTATAGTATCAGATGATTCTAGTTTCGTTCAGTTTAATCAGAAGTTATGTGTTCAAATGCATCCAACCGCGTTTAAAACGGTTGAGTGCAAGCTTTGCAAACAATTATAGTGTTGTCGGACTCGTGAGATTAGTTTTTATAGTTGTAATCTAAAGAAACTTAATTTAAAAATAAAATGTAGAACATGAAAACTGTTATTAAATTTCATAACCATACTATGGATTATGAGTAATGTATTCAAAATTTAGAATAATCAGAATATTCTCATTAGAAAAGTTTATATGAAATCATTGATAGTCAATTATGATAATTAAATATTTGATGAACTCTGATAGGTATTATTCAACCACATATAATTTTTATTTTTAAAATAAATTTAGATTTTGAATTAATCTTGCTTATTTCAAACAAAACTCCAAATGGTATTTTCTTTAAATATTCTTAAAATATTGTAATAGCTTTTTCTAGAGTAGTTTTGTATAATGTTGAGCATGATCTATCTCGTTATGATCGAAATAATTAATCTTTATGACACTTTCAAAATGTGGCAAAAGCAACATATTTGGTATAATAGTACTTCCAAAACCCAAGGAGTTCCAACTCAACAACTTTGGATTTTTTGAGAAGAGAATACATGAAAGCTGTAATCTCTGTGTTCTGATGTCACTATATCATTTGTCATTTGCTTCAATTTAACTATATAACTTCAATAATTTTTTGTAAAATATATGGAATTAACCAATGTGTGTGTATATGTGCATGCCAATTTGTCTTGAAGTGTTTGTGTACTTGTGCGTGAAGAGAAAGACATTTGGTTCATTCTCCCATCATTTAGCATAATAATTTGTAGTAAGAAACAAAATTAATGAACGGATGAAAAACAAGTCACAACTAATGTCAGTTTGTTTCTCTGATCTCATCGATGCATCTTTGACACCTTTTACATCAAGTATTCAAATATTAATTTGATGCAAGTAAGAAAAATCGTTGTTTTTTTTCTTTCTGGAAAGTAAAAAAAAATGTTAACATGTTACTGTCATAACCAAGTTGTTATGTCTGTGCCATTACCACACATACTACAAAAGTTTTTTTTGAATAGCATAGAGCCATATAATGAAACAAGGCATATATAACCTAAAGATTCACAAGGAATCTCTGTATATTCCTCAAAAACATGCTTAGAACTCAAAAAGCATATCATAATAGAGTTATAGTCTCTGATGCTCATTTTTGTTGTAAAAATGCAAACTGTTGTCGATATTGACTTCATTCATTAAAAATGACATTAACGCGCTTATGTTTTGCTTTCAGGCTAAGAAGTTCTACCAATTATACACTGAGAATACATCTGAGAGATTAAACTGCAATATAGAGACTATCTCTGCCTCAGACAACTCAACTGCTGTTGGTTTTAGAACTCGGGCCAAGTACCTCTCCGCGACAGGAGCCAAGCTTCTCCATTGTGTCACAACTACACTGGTAAGTTAAACAAAGGCTAAATCATGCATTCAAGTTCAGAAGTGAAGTAGGTTTAGGGTTTTAAATTTCCTAGCAGCTGCAAATAAACTGATAAATATTTGTTTTTTTAACTATACAGGATGGCATGTATTGGGAACGACCTCAAACAATAATTTCCAACTCTCGTATTGACCTGGAAGAGAAACTGCAAGACTTGGATATACCGATAAGAGGGATGGACATTGCCCTATCGAGCGGCATGTCTTTTCCTGTTGGTGTTATAGATGAAGAGCTCAGAGGTGTTGTGCTCAATAGCAGACAAAAAATCAGCCAAAAATTAGATCAGCAAGCTAAGTGCTTTGTTCCTTTTGATGCAACCACAGATCAAGAAATGAAACTGGGCATTTTCAACAAATACCTATCCATAGCCTGCAAAGATCTTCCAACTTCATTCTTTTTATACTGTGTGCAACTTCTCCTAGATGATGTGTCTATTTCAAAGAAAACCGACCATGCGCTGAAGAAAGCTCAAAAAAGTGGCGATTGTCAATGGTGCTTCAACAAGATCCGTGAGCTTTTGATGAACTTGATTCCCAGCAACAAAGGCTTGATCTTTGCATTAAAGTCCTCTCTGTCATTAGGCCTTGCTGTGTTACTCGGTTTGATGTATGACAGGAATAATGCATATTGGTCAGGGCTCACAATTGCAATCAGTTACGTGACTGGACGACAGCCGACATTCTCAGTTGCAAATGCACGAGGACAAGGAACAGCTTTTGGATCAATCTATGGGATCATATGTAGCTTCATTTTCCAAAAATGTGTAGGAATTGTGGATTTAAGATTCTTAGCTCTTATACCGTGGGTCATTTTCGCTTCTTTTCTAAGGCATAGTAAAATGTATGGCCAATCTGGGGCAATTTCAGCAGTTTTAGGGGCCTTGTTGATCCTTGGTAGGAAGAACTATAGTACTCCGCCTGAATTTGGAATTGCTAGAATGGCCGAGGCTACAATAGGACTCGCTTGCCTTATCGTCGTAGAGATTATATTAAGTCCATCGAGAGCTGCAACTCTAGCAAAATCAGAACTTTATCAAACCTTGAGAACACTTCAGGACTGCATCAAGCAGATTGCCATGATTACCCCTAGCGAAAAAGAGATTCCATCGTCAAGTTACCAAACCCTGAGAGAAGAGCAGAAGAAGCTCAAATCTCTTGTGCGTAGATTAGAAGAATTTACAGCAGAAGCTGAGTTGGAGCCAAGCTTTTGGTTCCTTCCATTTAATAATGCCTGCTACAACAATATGCTGAAATCTCTATCAAGGATGGTAGATCTCTTGCTTTTTGTGGCTTACTCAATGGAGCATGTCACGCAATTGGCACAGAAAGATGGAGTAATTTGGATGGACATTCAAGGTCGAGGGAATGAGAATGTGAAGATTTTTAGGGACAGAGTTGACCCAATATTGAAAAGCCTGGAAGAGATAACAAGGATGAAGTCTATTAAGAAAATTGAAAGTGACTTGAAGAGCCAAAATGTTCCTCATGATCTCGAGTCACAAGAATATCTCAATGCAGACGCATTAAGGATCTTGAGCAGAGATGAAGAGGTTGATAGCATTACAAACTCTTTCCTCCAACATCTAGAGGAAATTGCTGACAAAACTCATACCAACAAAGATGAGGAGACACTTAAAGTTCAGATGCTTTTTCATTACAGCTGCTTGGGATTCTGCACCAGTAGCTTGATGAGGGAAATAGTGAAGATTGAGAGTGAAATAAGCGAGCTGTGTATGTGGGAGAACCCTTCAAGTGAAACAAACTTCAAATAGATTTACTTTAAATGCTCTGCATTCATAGTAAATCTATCACTGTGGTTCCAAAAATGACCACAATAAGAGACTTAGACTTACTAGTTAGCCAATGACATGTAGATAGTATCTTGTATAAAATCATAGTATCTTGTATAAAATCATCCAATTGAAAAGAGAAAGCGATTCAACTTCATAAATTGATGTTTAAAGCACCCTAAAAAGAAAAATCAATCATTGATGTGGTATCAACCAACTCTAAATCAGTGTTGTCAAATTTCGGCCATGGCGGCGCCATGGTGGATTGCGGTTGCGGATTTTCAACATAGCGACATGGAAAAATAATGGTGTTGCGGATTTTGCATTGCAGCGCCATGACGGCCGCCACGAGTTTAACGTGCATGGCGGTATGGCAGAAATTGCGGAAAATGGTTTTTTTTCAAAAATTTTAAAATTCTTATCTGGTATTTCTTTACCGACCAGTAAACAACTCAAAAGAAGTTATAATTATAACTGTAGTTAAATACTAATAACCCCCACTAAATACTATAATTAAATATTTATAAAATCAAACCCCTACAACCTTTCCATTCTCCACACACTTTTCTTCACCCTCAGCCTCTCTTCTCTTCTCACGTTTCTCCACATACTTTTCTTCTCCATCTCTTTCTCTTATCTTCTTACACAACTATCAGGTACTCTTCTTCTTCAATTTTTTCTCTCTCTTATTTTTTATTTCTTTTCATTTTTATTCCTTCCCACACTACTCTATTTTCTGTTCTACTTTGTTGGTTCTTTTTTTTTTCCCTGATCATAGTGTTGTATTTATCTTTTTTTAAGTATTCTGTTTTTATTTTATTTTCTATTTTGTGTAATTTTAGACATTGTCTGAAAATCAGGAAACTTTCCTAACCTCTAAGGTAGGTTGGCGGTTCAGAGAGAAGTGACCCTAGATAAAAATATATCGATATAATTAAGGGAGATACAAATTCTACTCGCTGTATTTTTTTTTTTTTTTGCACAAAATTGATTAATAGAAGAATAACGAGAGCCAAAGACAATCTAATGGAAAATAAGTGCAATGTTCAAGCTTGCACCAAATGTTCATGCCAAATAACTTTAAAGAAGATTATGTTGAAGATAGAGAAGAAGATTAGAGATTCAATAATGTTTCATAGTTCTAATGTCTTTTATGAATGAAATGTTTTGAGGTATTTAAGACATGCCACATCTAAAATTCTAGTTTCCTCCATATATAATTCTGTTATTTAATTTTTATGACTTCTGATTTTTGATTTTTTGGTGCTATTACTGTTTTTTGTGAGTATAAATAATGTTTTTTATTTGTCTGCCATGCTTCCACAATTTTCTGTCCTGCCATCCGTCATATTTTTATAGCGTATTTTTGACTCGCCCCAATTTTCCGCCATAGACAACACTGCTCTAGATTTAAATAAATCACCTTATCCTTCAATGTATGTCAAGTAGCACTAGCATACAAGCAAATGCAAACATATTAGTGATATCTTAGCCTGACCTCACAAACGATATGCATGCAATATCAAAATCAATAAAGGGAAAAGGTCTATTTATAAACCTCAGAGAAAAAAGAAACAATTCTATATTGCTCACATTGTGATTGCACCAACATATAACAGTAACACATCATCTGGCAAACCTTCTAAACTTAATTCGTTCTTTCATTAACTTGTTTGTGAAAGTTCTTTGACCACAAAGCATAGAATGCAAGCACACGCAAGCAAGGTGGTTAAAATCAGGATTTTGTGCAAAATCAGAAAAAGGGGAGTAAAATCATAAATCGTGCAATCGTAACACCAATCGGACAAGAATCATAAATCTCAAACATATGCATATCAATGCATATAAAATAGTGTATAAGACAAAAAAAGTCTTAAATCAAACTGGAACAGCATAGTTGCATAACACTTGCATAATTAAAACTTCAATACTTGTGTAATTAAAATAGTAACACTCACATAACAGCAGCCTAACACTTGAAATACTTATGTAATTAAAATCTTAAATCAAACTCAGAAGTCTCAACCAAAGCAACTAAAGCTATCTTTTGTTGTTCAACCAATATTATCAACCACTAATATTATAGACACAGAAACGTTTCAAAGATCGTACATTATACAACTCCATGATTAACATGGACAATTCCACACGACTCCACCAAAAAGAGATTATGCATACTCATAATCGACATGGGCAAGCATAATCGCAAAATCATAAGATTTACTATTCAAATTGGGACTTTAACTAGCATCCATGGCGAATGCAAACATATTAGTGGTATCTTAGCCTGAACTCACAAATGATATGCATGTGATATCAAAGTCAATAAAGGGAAAAGGTCTATTTAGAAACTCCAAAGAAAAGAAAAACAACACTATCTTGCTCACATTGTTACTGCACTGTGATATAGTAACACATCATCTAACAAGCCTTCTAAACTTAATTCGTTTTTCATTGGCTTGTTTGTGAAAGTCCCTTGACCATAAAGCTAGGTAATGCAATCACAAGTATGCAAGGTAGTTAAATCGAGATTTTATGCAAAATTGGAACAAAGAAATAGATTTGTAAATTGGGGATCGGAACACTAATTGTAGATTATACAAAGTTCATAAATATCAAAAATATGTATAAAGATTCATTATATGCATATAAAATAGTACAAGTAAGACAAAAAAAAATCTTAAATCACACTTGAAATACTTCTGTTAAATTAAATTAACTAGCATAACTCAGAAAAAAGCATAGTTGCATGACACTTGCGTAGTTAAAATTTGAAATAGTCATGTAATTAAAATAACAACACTCACATAACAGCATCTTAACCCTTATATTTATGTAATTAAGACCTTAAATCAAATCGACAAGTCTCAAACAAAACATCTAAAAGGCTGTGTTCCACCACTGTGACCATAACCGCAGAAACATTGAAAGACTGTAGATTAAACAATTACATGATCAACAGGGGCAATTCCACACAATTCCGCCAAAAAGAGATTATGCATTATTCATAACCGCCAAGCATAATCGCAAAATCAGATTATACGATTGAAATCTGGATTTTTACTACCATGCACGCAAGTATAACAAAAACAAAAAAGTTGAACTCAATTGATGTTTATAAAAGTTTTAGTAGCAAGCTAGCATTAATATTCTCAAACTGAAGTTCATAATTCTATCACATTGAATTCCATTCACAAAGCATATCAGTCTACAAAATATAAAAATTACATCTTCAACTTCAAAACTTTCCTAGTTTCCTTCATACTTTGGGTCAGCCACGACATAGTGGTATGCTATCACCAGCACAAAGATGAAAACACCGAGAAAATTGGCAAAGAAACCCAGATCATTATCATCAATCATCTGTAACACCATGGTAAAAAAACAAAACAAAAAACACTAGTAAGTACCCTGGTTTGTGATATAGCAAAATTGATTTACATCACAAAAATCAATCTTAAAATTATCCTGGCACCCTCCAAGATTTGACTAGCCATCACAACTAAACAACCATCAAAACCACAAATATCAATGCACAACAAAATGGGTAAAAAAAATCAACTAGCCAAACTCCTATCATGATCTAAATTGTTTTCCCTAGCCTGGCTATGTTTAGATATTATAAAATGAACGGAGCAGAATGGAGCAGAGCAGAGTGAAGCAGAGTGGAATGCAGATTCCATTCCATCGATTAGAAATTTTAGTACAAAACAAGGCAAGTTCTTCATTCCACTCAAAATCGAGGGGAAGAAATATAGAGGTAAACAGAATCCATACCATTCCATTTCAGTCCGCTCCATCCGATTTTAAATGATCCAAACAATGGAACACCACTCCATTCCATCCCATACTGCTCAGCTCCATCCGATTCCATCGATCCAAACATAGCCTAATCGGAATTGCGACAATATGATAACGGCTTACGAAACTTCATGGCCACATCACAATTCATAACTAAATTTACAGCTGCATCATCAGCATTTGACCTAAATTTTAAACCTAGATTCCAATTTTCTCATTAACGCTTACAATTAAAAATCAAAATAGATCATGAATAATCAAAAATTCTACAATTTCGTTACGATCCAATTATCAGAAAACCCGATCTGAAAACTCATAAACCAAATCAAGTAAAAAAAGTATCGCATCTGTAAGAATAAGTGTCGGCATAATGAATTTGAAATGTAGAACAATGAAAATTTCAATGACGATAGTCGAAAAGGGAAATTGGGGATCGATACGGTTAATAAGAGAAAGGAATGGATCGGAAACAGAAATTGAGAATACGGCGTTGATACCTTTACAACGCGGTGGAAATGGGATCACTTTTCGGTCCGGCGAGTGTTGTTGCAGTGCTTCTTAGGTCTTGCACGATCTGCCTAACTTACAGACTCTGATGCGAATAACAAGCAGATTAGTCTTTGTTTGGTGGACTATTTTACCCTTATAATTTCATAATTTACAAAAGATAAAATAATTAAAAATGTATAATCCGTTTTTTTCTATACCAATATATAGGATGAGAAATGTTATTTGAACATTAAATATTTGACACATCGGAAATTAATGTCTCTATCTTTTATTTTTTCATCTCATATATTTATACAAATTTCAAAAATATATTATTATATTTAAAAATTATACTTAGATATTAAAAAATTATTTCTCAAATATGATAATCTCAAAATTGTTATAATAAATTAAAAAGCTATTATTATTGAAATATTTATCTAAAATATTAATATTAAATAGTAATGTGAATTATCTATTAAATAAATAAGAAAGAAATTTTAGAGCATTGGCTGAGTTAGACATTTTTTGTTGAGGGGCCATTTAATATAATTAAAATAAATAATAACCATTTTCTTATATAAAACAAATTTGTAGCATAGTGCATTGGTTAAGTATTTGAATATTTTGCCTTAGTTCTAGTTTTGATTCTTATGAGAGCCATTTTTTCAAAATAAATTCCTAAAATTATAAAATTTTGTCTCATGTAGATTGAACTGGAGACCATAGGTTGACAACATGATATATTTTCTACTGCGGCAATTTTGTTTGTTGTAAATATATTTGTCGTAAAATATATATATTTAATTAATTTATAATAATTTATAAGCCTTCCTCTTAAAAATTTGAAATTTTTGAGGTGGCCATGGCCTTCCCCCGTCCCTTTTCCCTAGCTCTGCCACTGCCTTAGAGATTCTTTTTGCCTCAATTGCCCAGGTTTCAATGAAACCACTCTCCATGTCATATGTGATTGTAAAGTTGCGATTTACGAAGGGTGTGGATCCCTCAAGTGGCCCCTAACATTGGAAGGTATTTTTTAATTCTGACTTGTTTTGCTAGATTGATTTAAATTTGCAGGTAAATTTTGGGCGAGGAGGACATCATAGTTGGCAATCGACATGGGCTACCACATGTCATACTTTGTGGTATTATGTGAATCAACGACTTCATGTGGAGAATTTCATCATGCCAACCAACTTGACTGACAATATAAGACAACAAGTGTTCACTTACCAAAACAATTTTTATAGACATCACATGAATAATACTACCCAAAGGAGCATTCAACATGGAAGAGGGCATCCTTCTCTATCAGGTTGGGTTAGACTTAATACATATGGCGTTGTTAGCAGAACCAAAAAAGTAGGTAACGAGGGTTTGATCAGAGACAATAAAGGAGATTGAATGAGAGACTTCACAAAATACATAGGCACATGTGATGTAATTGTGGCGGAATTGTGGGGAGTTTATGAAGGAATGTGTTTAGTTAAAGAGAAGGGTTATTCAAAAGGAGAACTTGAAGTAGACAATCAAGAAGTTTGTAATGCTTTAACAAAAAGGAACTCAAATTTAGGATCCAGCGGAGGACTGATGTAAAAGATCAAATTCATGCTCAGTCAAGATTGAGAGATTCACATTCGTCACATCTATAGAGAGGAAAATAATTGTGCGGATGTTATGGCCAAATTAGGACTTAGTCGAGAATTAAATCTCTATTACTTTGATGTTTGTCCAGCTGATATGGCTTTAGCTCTGCATCTTGACTCGAAGGAGCAAAAATGACCCTATTGTAGTTGTTTTTTAGTTTTTCTTTCTAGGGCTTATGCCATCCATGACATAAAAAAGGTGTTAATTTAGAATAATAATGTTCTATTTACAATGTCAACTTAGAATAATAATGTAAATTATTACAATCATGTAATAATTGTAACTATAGTTGTATAAATACTCCTTTAAGTCATGCAAATGTGCACTATTTTTTTTTTTTGAGAAATATAAGATATCATACTACTTTCTCCTCTCTTTATCTTTTTAGTTTGATTCAAATATCTTATTTTTTCAACATTATCAACACGATCATTTCTAACGGAAGTGTTAACTACTATTAGGTACACCACCTATCCTTATCTCTTTCAAGTTCTTATTACTATTAGACTTAAATGCACTTTACTTTCTTTGGAATTTTCTTAGTCCTCCACCACTTTTGCAAACATGGCAGTGATGATTAGAATTAAAAATCATTTTTTAATGACGTGACAATGATGACTAATATAATTTATTAATTAATAATTTTTTACATAATTAATTAATGGATAATGCTAACATGTGCCTTCAGGATACAATTTAAGAATTAAATGTAGTGAGTTTATTTTGGAAATTGTGTCAGAGTGTTTTTAAGATATTAAAATTAAAACTTTTATTGCTTTTTTCAATACAAACATTCTATTTATAGATTTCTTAAGATGTACCCTTAGAGCACAAGTTAGTATTAACTTAATTAATACTAATCAATCATTTTAATTAGAGTGAGGACCCATTTTATTTATTTATTTATTGTGATTACAAGGAAGGCCAAATGCCCAAAGAGCGAAAACTAAACAGAAATTATCCTAAAAAAGGATGCATCATTGGAATCCTCTGATAACAAGCTAATAATACATTGAGACGCAAAATTGTAGATCACAGTGTCAGGACCACAACTACAACATATAGTAGCAAGTGTATTAACACACTTGTCCACTTCTCTAAAAGAGTTCACCACACAGACATCTTCATACTTTTCCATGAGATGCTTAATATGTGAAATAATCGTCAAGCTCTCTTTATGAGTGGAACATCCTTTTTCAATAACGTGAACCACCATGATAGAGTCAGTATTAAATTATACCTTACGATAACCAAGAGCTAAGGTGAGCTTGAGACCCTCCAGAACTCTCCATATTTCAGCCATGAAAGCATTAAACTGACGCAAAAACTTCGAGAAACCTCCCAACCGTCTTCCAAACTCATCACGAATCACACCTCCGCAACAGGTTGTCTGAATGTTCTTGCAGACGCAATCGATATTAAGCTTTACCCAGTTGCTACAAGGAGGGCACCAAGAGAAGGTCTTCATGACTTGAAGCTTATCCAGACCCATCTGCATTACGCTACTAGCTAAGTCACACTCCTTGACTTTCTTCAAAATGAAATCATCAGGAGCAAAGAGTTGATTTACGTCTTCCCCATGCTCTTCTTTATTCTGCCACATCAAGATAAAATAGCATCCCATAGCCCAAAACTTACACCACGACCTCACATAATAATTAGAATTAGAGATGTTTCCCGCAAACCACTCAGCAAGCTCCAAATTCGTAAAGAAACTTTGCATAGGATCAGTAGGCAACAAACTATTCTAAACTTGCATGGCCTTGGGGAAGTCTCTCAACACATGCATAGTTAACTCTTTAATGTACCCACAAAGATTACAATACATACGGCCTAAACCACACTTGCTCTTGTTGTAATTGGTCATCAGCTTCTCATGACATAATAACACCAAGAACATGTGAATTCTCTCTGGCACCTTAAACTTCCAGGTATGCTCACAAACTTTATTCTTTATGCACTCATCATTTTCCAAGAGTTCCTTATACATTACCTTAACTGAATAGAAACCATCCCCAGCAGTGAAAACCCATTTTAGTCTCTCACAAAAATTACAGAATCTAAATTAATCCTCCATAAAAAAAAAAAGACTTGATTTAATACCTTATAAAATTTAACTGACCATATTAATCTATTTGTTAATATTTTTTTAAATCGTTTTTTTTTCTTCTACTTTTAAACCATAACTGGACTACCATGTTGAATTTTAATTTTCATTTTTCATTTTTTAAATACTAATTTGATTTTTTATTTTTAATTTCAATTTTATTTTTAAACAATTCATATTTGAAAATATAAAAAAAAAACTAAAAATCGTTCTTAGAGAGAATTGAACCAGAGACCTCATATGCCTTTACCACTAGGTCAATATACGTTGCTAACAAATAATTCTATAATTTGTAGTAATATTAAATAATTTTGAATTTAAAAAAAAAAGTTAGAAACCTAAGTCCTTTTAGGTTAAATGGTAGTCAGGTTACAACTAAATCAATCAGTTTATGTTGTTAATATTTCTAACGATAAATATTTAACTTAATAATTCAGAATAAATATTTACTTATTTACTTATTTCAAATAACAAAAATTTAAAAATAAAATTAATCAAATGTAATCCTAAATATAATTATTATTATTTAATTAAATTACTATTAAACTAATTTAATATTATTTTATTTTAATTAATTAAATACTTTTAAAAGTTAATTTATTATTTAATTTGAATTAATTAAATATTTTAATAATTAATTAAATTATTATTAAATTAATTAATTTGAAGTAATTTAGAATAAGTAAATATGTATTCATGTGTTATTTAATTCCAATTAATATTATTTAATTTATTTCTATTTGATTATTTATTTAGGATTTACATTTTTTAATTTTAATTTTAATATTTTGTATTATTTAAAATAAATAAATATTTATTTGTGTGTTATTTGAAATGAATAAATAAATAAATATTTATTCTCAATTATTATGTTAAGTATTCATTATTAAAAATATCAACAACAATTGGTCTAGTTGTAAAGTGATTATCATTTAACTTTAGAAAACTTGAGTCGAGATTCATGATTACAAAATTTGTATTCTTTTGTTTTAAATTCATAATTTTTTAATATTATTATAAATTATGAGAATTATCTGTCACCAATGTACATCGACGTATTTTTTATTTATTTGAAATTTAGAATTATTTAATATTATTATAAATCATGAGAACTATCTATCATAAATGTATATTGGTCTAGTGGTAAAGATATATGATGTGGCTTAAAGGTAGGAATAATTTTTTACTCTTTTTAAAAAATTTAAATCTGAATTATTTAAAAACAACATTGAAATAAAAAATAAAACTCAATTTAGTATTTAAAAAAATAAAAAATAAAAAATGATATCTAACATGGCACTACCGTCATGGTTTAAAATTAGAAGAAAAAAAAATTTGAGAAAAATATTAATAGAGATACTAATATGATTCAAGACAAAAGTGGGTTCTCACTCTTTTAATTATATTTAATTAGTAATATTTTTTTATTTTAATTAATTTAAATAAGTTTAAATTTTAAAAGAGTTTTTTTGAACTTATTTCCCAAATCATTTTAGCATCTTTCTAATTTACAAGAACTCAATAAGTATGATGGTATTTTTGGCTTGATTTGGAACATGGAAGTCCCTTTTAAAATCAAGTCATTCGGGTGGAGGTTTCACCTTAATAGGCTTTCTACAAAAGACCAATTGGTAGTTAGAGGAATTTTTTTTCCTTTGGATTCTTTAAATTGCTATTTTTGTGGCAGTCATGTGGATAGTAGGGACAATTCTTTCTTCAAGTACGGTGTAATCAAATTTATTTAGTTGGAGATAGTCATTTGGGTGGGTAAAAGGGAGGAGGAGTTGGTGGAGTATCATTCACATTTTATGAATTGGTACTTCTTTTGTAGAGAAAAAAATGGTGAAGTTAGGCAAAGTAGGAATTATATGGTTAGCAACGGTGTGGTGTATATGGTTGGTTAGAAATGGTATATATTTCTGAAATGAAGACTGAAATGTGAATAATACAGTTTGGAGTATTAAATCTTTGGTTTGGAAGTGATCTTTTATGGTAGGATTACGTACTCCAATTGTAGTTTCTACGATTTTAGCAAGTATCTTTTGCTATTCTTATCGTAGTTTGTAATTGCTTTGTAATTTTCTGGGATTTTTTGGCGGTGTTTCTAGCCTGCGTCTTTGTGTGAAAGGTTGGAGAACCTTAGTTCTCCGTTTAATATATTGCTTACTTACACAAAAAAAAACTCAACAAGTGTGTGTGAGTTATATAAAAACTAATATTATACAAGGAAAAAATAATGTGGGACTCTTGCAACTCAACATGCTCTGTTTGCATTTCTTCTTCTACAAACTTTTCCAGCTTCAACTGATTTTATCTCCACTTTTCTTTTCACTACAGGATCCTTGAATTCATGTCACACCTCCTTTTGTTATGTAGTTTTAAATAGACATGGCAACAAAATCCGTACCTGCGGGTATCCATCTGAACCCGCTCTAAGGTTGACAGAGAAAACTCATTTTGACTTTGTTTAGATTCGGGTTTAGGTTTTCTCCAATTACAAAATATAGGGATGAGTCGGGTAATGAGGACATTAATACCCACCTCTAAC